CACTTCAACGTTTCCTTTTTGGCGTTCTTTTTATGCCAAAATATCATATTTTGCATGGTTTTCTTCTGAGCAGTTATATCCTGTATCTTAAAGTTGAGAGGCGCATTTTATTCAATTTTTCGGGGGATCTATTCCTAATGTTTGATGAACTGGAACCCCATTGAATTCTATATGGGAAAATGTGATCCAACTTGCGGAATTTCCAACATAGGGACAAGGTCCATGCACCAATTACGTGGGCATCTCGGGGGTCTTGCTGTATTTTGAAATAACGAGAGAAACCCGGGTATTATCCGGGTAACCACATTGGATTATGCTTGGCGTCTGATAAACGATAATTAAAGTACTGTATATCTTTCTGAAGGCCTGAGACATGGAAGAAACTTGGAAATATGCTAAGGTCAATGATTTATTGTCAGTCGAGAGGAGATATGAGATTTAAATTGCGTTGTCTTTAAGAAAACTGTTATTGTTATTCTGTCATTCAGGACAGTAATATGGAATGAATCCCTTTTTACAAAACTTGTTTGCCTTTCACGCACCAAACATTTGGTGGGACGATGTTCAGATGTGGTTCCCTTTTTTTTTTTCAAACTGCCTCAACTTCCTTCGATACGAATTCCGGAATCCAATGTCCATAAATCCTCGAAATATTCAAGCTTTGGTGGCTCTAATACCACATGAATCGCTGTGTGCTTCTTGGAAGGAACAGGCGGAGGAGTTCCGACACGAACCCTGCTGAATCGAAGGTATGGTACAGTATTTTATTTTTATTTTTTGCGGAGCTGACGCACGACAGATGAAATGCAGAAAAATAGAGCAAAATCCGAAGATGGGACTCGTATGTGCGTCAAGGTTCCACTGACAAATGGGAGCCACGATGCGGAACACGGACCACGACGAACGGCGCCGTCCAACATTTTTTCTGCTCGATTTCCGCCCGGGACTGCGGAACATTTCCGAGGTTTCATCTCATTAAAAGCAAACTGAAACGAAATATGAATGGGAAGCCTATATAGAGGCCGGCTCGGGTTTTTGCTGGTGATCGACGAAACACAAAGGCGCCCTTCAAAAATTCGATAGCTGCACCTCGGATATCTCGATACCCCGTCCGATCAGGAATCGTCTGGCTTTTTTTTCGTTTTTTTACCCCATCGCCTCTGGAGGGTCCACTCGATAAATTACATCCTGAATCAGAAACAGGCCGAAACGGGGGTTGGGTAACCGGGGGAACAGTCATCCGCCTCATTTTTTACCCCTGCCATTGAGCGGCATGCCTTTTTCCACTGTTTTGGCGAAAAGCTGGAATTTTCCCACGCGAACCGTTTTTTATGCCCTGTTGATGAGATAGTGGGGTAAAGCACCGCATTGTCACAGCAAACCGGGGATGAGGCGGAAATTCTATACCTTTTTGTTTGCTTTCACGCGAGTTCTTCTTTTTATTATTTTTTTACCGTGCTCATCGAACTTCCGCCTCGCTCATGTCACGCATTCCGCGAATTCGAGTTTCATGGCTTGTTCCGCTTCTCCTGGACGAATCGATTTCGGCTAGACAGAAACGATTTCAGCCGATAGAAACATTGATCATTTCATACAGCAATTATGAATTCCGGAATTCCCGGTTGAACGCAGTTTCGGTCGTCGCTCATCGACTTCTTGAGGCTAAGCGATTTTAACCTGTGAAGCGAAATTGAATTAGTCAACGAATTAATTTAGTGCAGAGGTCATCATTCTTTTTATTTTATTTGCGGAACTATTTTTGTTATCCATTTATTTCCATGATGACACCGCGATTAAGAGAAACAAATCATTCTGTGCCTTTTTCTCGGGTCCAACTCATGTACTGTGCCTCTTGCTGCATTCGTCTCTCACAAGAGGTAATCTATCGTATTTTTCCATCGTTTAGTGTTATCAGATTTTATCTTAAACCAGTTTCATTCGTTTTCGGAATATGTGGATTTCGGGGTCAGGTACAGTACTGTATTTGCAGTCCCTTTCGGACGTACTATTTGCGATCGTTTCCGTGAGCTCGCTTGAACCAGACACGAATTATGCCTGTTCAAGCAGATGCCAAGTGGATTGACAGCAATAAATACTATAAAACTCCGGGAACATTACTTCGGCATTGAAAAATGCATTATAAATCTCTTTAGCATGTATTGGCATACTGTGTCATTCGAACTTCATCTATAACCATGCCAACATTTAAATCCATCGTGATGAAGTACAGGCTCATGTAAAATTTCCTTATGCGTCATTCCTTTCTCCTCGATCACCTTATCATACACAATGCTTATCCAGAATGTTCCACACGAGTATTTCAGATCATCGTCGATTTTTCTCATAAGATGAGCCATTTTTAAAGTTGCAATCGGTCATTCTTGAATGACCCTTCATTACTAGCCCAAATGATGAGAGGGTTCCATTGCATTGAAACGAAGTGTTGAAAAGGTTCGCTATTTATCACGTGTATATCTTGGGTGTTCTGAAATAAAAACAGCCAGGAGTTTGACGCATGAAGAGGATTTTTAAATGCTCCTCTTTACGCCTCTACTAATTTTCATCTCTGTTCAAATACAATTCTGATTTCTTTGAAGTTGCGATCCAGAATATTTTTATGAGCAGCATATGCTGACTCTTTCTCTATGTATGTTTCCCAACGCGTCTTGTTCTTTTCTTTTTCTTTCTTTTAGCCTGAGCTAGAGTTCCTGACTAAATAAGATTACCATCATGTGTGGTTGCCTCGAGGCCAGCAAGCCTTTCCGCCCGATGTCCTCTCAAAAATGTGTGTGTTTTACCACCTTTATTTTTGGGCCAACCAGCGAGTTAAATCACCTGCTGGCTGACCATTGTGATCTTTAAAACTCTGTTGCAACTCTGTGCTCAGCAGCATTTGTGTCCAAACCTTTGCCGACTGTATTGTGTGTACTTATTGAAATACTGTACATTGTTCACTGCCTCTCAAGCAAGATCTTGGCAGTTATTTATTTAAAACTACTAAAAATCCTTTTGGCCTGCAAAGCACGTAGAGAGCAAATTTATATAACACCAAGATCTACTAACGTGTTATCTGAAGATTTGAGGTCAGTAGAAAAGCTTCCTGTTAGATGTAACAGTAAGATATTTTTTCAAGACTCACCAACTCTTTTTATTTACCCAGCAAATTAGGATAACAAAGTCAAAAAGGCTTTTGTCAAGACAGCAAGTATGATCAAAATAATGTATGCAGCAATGTTCCAAAATTCTATACTGCACTGTATAACAACAAGTATGCTGACCACGAAGACCATCAGCCTAATCTGGCCTATGATATAATTATTTTTTGGTTTCCCGAAAAACCTCGATACGGTTTGATCGAAGAAATTCCCATCACGGGAGACCGCGAGCAGTTATCTAAATTTTTAATAAAGAGGTTGATGATCCTTTGAAGTCGGGCCCTCACTTTGTTAGGTATAGGTAATGATGGGTAATGTTTAAATTGTCGAGCTACCGTGATTCCCCACAGAATTTTTGAAGCCATCGATATTCGTACTTGAAAATGTTCTGCCAAAGCGTTTCCGATACTGTATAAATTTCTCTCTGGTCAATTAATCCGGCATCCTGAACAAATATTGATTTCTGTCATGAATCCTGTGATTCGAAAGCGTCAGAAGTCAAACACAACGCTTTCGAGTAACATTACGTCAGTTCATTCATTACCTGGCTGAAAATTGAGATGATTATTGCGTCACAGTAACAGGACACAGCGTATTTCCGTTGAAAAAGATGGTGGATTTCAAAGGTTTTCAGAGCAGAATGCCTTGAACAGCAACGGAATATTCAATATTCGAAGAGTTACGCGGCGGGACTTGATTGTTTAATTTGCGCATTGATCAATTTATTCGTTCAACAGTAACTCCCATTGTCTGGCCTTGGATTAATCGAGCCGTCATTTCGACCAATTTTGAGGAAACAAAGCCACTCGTGCAATTGAATTTTTATTAGCTACACAGTGCGAGTATTCCCTCTCTTCAATTAATTATCGGGGTCGATGAATTCCGAGTTTCTTGGGTAACATTGGTCACATGTATTGTCTAGTCATTGTGGAGTAGTTTTCCTTTTGTGCATCATATTTTTGAATATTCTAGTACTGTACTGTACAGGTGGACTCTCTCTACAGCGAATTTCAAGGGACCAGAAAAAAATTCATTGTAGAGACAATTTTGTTGTACAGTATATGAATTAGGGAAGAACTCTATGTGACTACAATAGAAAAAAAGGTTATACTGAGAAACTCTTGCAGACGAGATCATCGTAGAGAGTCCACCTGTATCGCGAAAATCAGTCTTAGGATATCGAAGTTGGTGTGCTTCCTGGTTGTTCATAAAATCTGTTTTGAAGATTTCGTTGATTGCAGCGAAATATGAAAAGTTGTTGTCTCAATGAGAACGAGAGCATCACAAAAAACCAAACAGCATGGCAGGAGAATGAAGGAAAAGGTCGAACAAACCCCGTCTCGCTGTAGCACAAACCGATGACAAAGCCGGAGTTCCACGTACAGTATCGCATCGATCTGGGAGGGGCCGAAAGAAAACGCTTGACCACTGACGCCCCGGGATTTTTGCAGGCGCATTGACCCAGCTAGCCAGTAATCAGCGACCCGAGCCAGGGGAAACGTCGAGGGGGTGCTGTGGGGGACCCAACCCTGTTTTCCTTCCTCCCCTGCCGGCACCCGCACCGCCTGCTAACTCCGGCCTTCACGTATGGATGTCGCTAGTGATTCAACTCGGGCATGTGTTTCTATAAATACATTTATTCCACGTCTCTACAATGAATTCCCAGTTCCATACAACGGGGGAACCATCCCCACGTCACTCCCATTATATCTTCGAAAAAGGAAAAAAAAACTTTCCAAACATAGAGAACAATTTCGCAATGACACAAGTGCAGATTATCCCGCCGCTTCTTTTGCCACTTGCAAGGAAATACTCGTTCATTCAAGTGTCTCAAAAAAAAAAAAACACCATGACCAGAAGAAAGCGTTACACTCCATGACTACATACGCGGAGGTCGTGATGCAAATCCGTGTGAAATTGAGCAGGTAACTTTGGGGGTTGGGGAAGGTTGCATAGAAGTGGACGTCGGTGCGCGGGAAAACACAGAAACAAGCACATCCGAAAAAAAGGGGTGAACACAAAAGATTTGGATCAAAGAAAATCCGCGTCAAATCTGCTTGCCACTCACAATCCACTGCTCAACACAGGACACGACTTCAAGAACCAGGACGCCTCGTCGCGATGAGGAAAACAAATAAAATAAAGAACCGAGAAACTGCGGCAAACCAAAAGCACCCATAAAAATGTAAGCAGGACAACGTTTCCCACTCTCCCAACACTTAACACGGGGATCGAGGGGTTTTTTTTCTGACTTCGTCCTACTTCTGTCAATTGCCACATGCCCTCGTCATACATGCTCAACACGGACAGGGAGAGACAAGGAAAAGGAGAGGAATATTCAACGCCCACGAGCATTACATTGTCATAACAATCAATGGCAACAATCAACGGCACAAAGAGGACAAAATGCTCCACACCAGACGAGTCGGCGACCGCCGCAGGGAAAGATCACACAAGAGACACGAATCTCCTGGCTATCCTTCGCAATGATCCAGAAAATTTATCGGCGTCGGGCAGCCTGCTCTATTGAATGTTCTCAGTTCATTCCTTTGTATAAATCTAGATTTCTGAGAGAATGAAAACACTTGTCCCAGCCAACAATCACAACTAAGATCAGTTAATGCTCGAAAAACCTATACCCAATATCATTTCTCGTCTAGATTTTTGAATGAACAAAGAGATCGCCAGATTGAATGTTTGACTGCATAGCGTATGCAAAAATAGAGGAGCAATTGTTTCCCCAGTTCCGAATGCTCGTATAAGAGCGTATTCTCCCAAAATACGTCGTCCATCTTGCTTCAACGGGTTTCCTTTTCTCAATTGCTCGGGAAACCCTCGATTTAAAAAATGCTCTCATTGACAGGCCAAGCTCACACGAGGATTGATTCCAACAAAAACAAAGCCAATAAGATAACAGCACTATTTTAACAAATCAAATTTCGCTGCTCTTCGCCTTCGCCGCGCATCCACGATAACCCGACTTGACCAAGAGCACATCACCGCAATATCAGATACACCTGGAAAACGACGAGTCGAACGAAAACAAAATCAAAACAAAACAAACCTCGACACACCGAGTTACTATGAAGTTCTCGATCGGATGTGCAGCAGCTCCGAGGGACAAAAGGAGAAGAAAGTGGCATCATAAAAAAGAACATCACCACTTGCATCCTCAAAAACCCCTTTTCTCAAATGACGCCAAGGAAGCACGCGCTGCCTGGACACCCATCCTCGACCGAGAGCACGATTTCTTCACAAACGAAGAAAAAAAAATGGAAAGGCCCCAACGAAAATTCACACAGAACCCCTAGCTGCGATTCAACAAGAATTTCTTCAACCATGTCCGGGGTCCTCTAGCACCATTTATATCCTTCCAACTTTTTCAGCTGGGTTGAATAAAATGTTTCCCGCTCCACAAAAAAAAAAACAGGGAATTTTATTTACATCGAAAGCAACTCTATAATGCCGGCTCTGCGTTCAGCTCTGCGACAGGGTTTCGAACGCATTCGGGCAGCTGACCGCGGCTGATATGCGTGGACAACGTCAAGGAATTTACAACTCTGGACACTCGAGGAATTACTCAATGACGATTTGTGTGCAACGCAACTACTCGCCTCCAAGAACTCTAGGAATGTTCGAAGAGAGAAACAAAAGGAAAAAAACCGCTTTTCCCACCCCTCGCCAGCGACCATGACACTTTCGCGAAACGTATAGATTTTCCCCGATTTTGGAAATCAAGAGACGGCTCGCGGGGGGGAAATTCTCCGCCAGAAAGCTATAATCGAGAACCCCAAGCGCGTTATTGCTTCTGATGTGAAACCTTTCTTTCAAACTAGAAAATTAGAAAACTCCTCCCTCAACAGCCTGGCCAACGTTCCTCTGCCGGAAACGTGGAAAAAAACACAAAGACGGCCGTGGCGATCATTCCGGCTTCCAAGCAACTGACTGTTTCCGGACGTTGCGGAGGTTTCGTTCGGTTCTACAGCATCTCACACGATGTTCGCTCGCGGTCGGTTTTCGGTGGTGAAAGTATAGGAGGACACGTTCGGTATTTCGCGCTCACGACATGAAAGTAGGAAGGCTGCTGTCGTCGTCGTCGTCATCGTCTACGTGGTTGTTGTTGTTGCTGTTGTTGTTGTAGTTATTGCCACAGCCGCCGCCCCCGAGCCACCACGGAAATGGCCGCGGGAACAACGACAGCGCTGGTTTGGCAAGGCTCGCGTGCAGGCCGTTCAGCGGCTGAGTCCAGCTCAACCCACTGCCCGGCTTGCCCACAAAACCCGTCGCAGGCAGTCATGAGGCGCTGAGCGGCTCTTGGAGCTGCGGGGACGAACCCAGACCCTTGTGCGGGGACCCGAACGAGTCCGCAGGCAACCCGGTCACGGCGGGCTCCTGCTGCTGCTGCTTGTCCCCGACGTCGACGTCCACGGGGTCCAGGGACTCGGACGTGTCCTCGCCGACGTCGCTTTCCTCGGACGACTTCCTGGTGTCCTCGTCGACGAGAGGCCCGTTGAGCGGGTTCTGGGCTGCCCCGATAGGATTCAGCTGGGGCAGAGGCAGCAACTTGTCCGCCGCCACCACGCCGCTCGGAGACGGCCGTTTGTCCATCAACAACGGCACCATGGACGCGGACGACGTGAGCTGGAACGGCGAGCCCAGGCCCCCGGTCGTCGGCGTCCCGCCGAGAAACGGCGGCGAGAACAGCGACGGGGAGATGAGACCCGCGGCGGCGGCAGCGAGGGGGTCTCCGAGTCCCGGCGCCCCGGGCAACAGGCCCTTGAAGTCTTGCATGAGGGCCCCGGGTGGCGGCGGATGCGGAGGCTGTTGGGACGCCGTCGTCGGCGAGGGACGCGACACTGCGTGGTGTCGCTGGACCGACTTGAACTTCTTGTTCTGGTTCGTGACGCATTTGCGCATGTGCTTCTCGAGCGTGGACGCCACGGAGAAGGGCATGTAGCAGAACCGGCAGCGGTACACGTCCTTGCCGAGGCGGCCGTGCGTCTTCATATGGCGCGTGAGCTTGGAGCTCTGTGCGCAGGCATAAGAGCACAACTCGCACTTGTACGGCTTCTCGCCCGTGTGCGAACGACGATGGACCGTGAGGTTTGAGCAGTTCTTGAACACCTTGCCGCAGTACTCGCAGGTGTCGTTCCGTCCGCGGTCTTTGCGCGGGATCGGCGTGGCCGTCGACGTCAGTGTTCCGCTCTGCAACGAAGTCGTGGGGCTAGGACGACCCATTCTGCTGTGCAGCGACACGGCGCCGGGCCCGCCGCCGCCGCTTTGGGAATGAGGCATGGGTCGCCAGGACCCGACGGCGGAAGACCCGCCGCCGCTGGTCTTGCCGGGACTCGATGTGGAAGGCGGCTGGGAGCCTAATCCTGGCAGCATCCCGACGCCCATCCCGGGTAGTTTTCCGGCGAAAGAGCACCCATTGCCGCCGGTGGGCGACGGGAGAGGCGGCTGGAACCCCGGCGGAAAGCCCGATGCGAGGCCCATGGGGAACCCAGGCGGGGTTCCACGAGGACTGCCCACTCCGGGGATCCAGAGCCCGGCGTAGAGGTTCTCTTGTTCACCGGGGCGGCATCCCGGAGGCAGTCCGCCGGGCATCCGGTTCTTGTCGTCGTCGACGCCGCCGCCGCGCTTCGGGCCGAAGAGACTGGACATGAAGCCCGAGGCGGCCATGTCCAGGCCGGCCAACATGCTCTTGGGGATTTGATCCAGTCGACTCTTGAGCTTGCTGCTCTCCAAGTCCATGAGTTCTTTCTTGAGCGTCGGAGGAGAACTGGAGCCCTGGCGGATGTTGAAGTCCTGGTGCTGCTTGGACGAGTTGGAGTTGAGACTCAGCTCTTGGTGGTGGTGGTGGTGGTGGTTCAGGAGGGCATTGGTGGGCGACAGGATGCCCTGGAGCAGACTCGTGGGCGGCACTCCGATCCTGGACTCCTTCAGCGCCTGCTTGTAGGCCTCGCTGTACTGGTCGATTTGACTCAGACCGAACTTGTCCATGACTTCGCCGACCAACGTGGCGGGCGAGTTGGAGAACGGCGACGGGCCGCCGACGGCCTTGCAACTCAGGTCTTCCGCCTTCTCCTCGTTCTCTTCCTCGGTGTTGTTGTCCTGTTCATCGTCGTCTTCCTCGTCGTCGTCTTCGTCCATGTCGTCGTCGAGACCGTCGTCGTCGATTTCCACATTGTCGTCGTCGTTGTCGTCGATGGTCTCGGTGTCGCCGTCGCCGTCGTCGGCCGTGAACTCGCTGTCCATGGAGTTGTCTTCGGACGCGTGGCGCCGCACGACGTCTTGCTGCACTTGGATGTGGAGCGTGATGTGGTTGCGGAGATGGTCGGGCTGTCGACACGTGAAGGGACACATGGTGCACTTCATGCCGTCTTCGTGCTCCACGTGCGTCTTTTGATGCTGGAGCAAGTGATGCTTGGACCGCAGGGCTTTGTCGCACACGTCGCAGCTTTCGGGTTTGGGGGATTCGCCGGAACCAGAGGACACGTTATACAACGACTTGCTACTCGGAGACACCGGCTTCGACTCCGAGTGCTCCTCGTTTCCCGACTTGGGCGACTTACAATCGGGATTCGAGGCTGGGCGGGCGCGAGCAAGCGTTTGAGGCGCCGGAGGCGGAGGTGGTGGCGGCGGCAGCGGCAGCGACGGTGCATGATGCTGCTGCTGCTGAGATGGAGGCGGCGATGTGCCGCCCGCGAGCTGACGCAGACGCTGCGAGTAAAAGTCCTGCGAGTCGCCGTTGCTGAGCGGCGTCGGTGGTCGCGGATCCGGGGGTTTCGGGAATCCAGTCGGCAGGAACGGACCGAATTGTCGTTCGCTCAATGGGAGTCGCATCAGGTTAAAAGGGTGGTTCGGGTCGGCGAGGACGCCTTGCGACAGGCCACTCGGGAAGTGGAGCGGAGCAAGGGCGTCCCGGTCCGGCGCCGCGAACCCACCCGGCTGTTCGAGTTGCTTTTCAGCTTGGCTCGGGCGGGGGTCGCCGGCGTCCTGCACGTAAATATTCAGACCGTGTGCGTGCTGCACGTGCTGGATCAGGAGCCACGCCGACGTGAAGCTTTGACGACAAGTTGAGCACACGTAACAACTCGGCTCTGCAATGAACAAGAAAAAAAAAAACAACGGAATCCACGATTAAAAAACGTTTTTTTCATAACAATATAACTCAAGAATGAATTACCATTCGCCAGAACAGTCGGGTTAAAAAAAAGAGAGATATCACAGGAGACGATGCACCTTTTTTATATTTACTCGTGTCCCTTGAAACGAAACATACCCTAAATTTAAAAAATAATTTAAAAGACCCAATTTTAGTTCGAACGAATTCAAGGCACTTATTTCTCGTGAAATTTTGCTGGAAAGAAGTGTGCATAGTGCCGTAAAGGAATATTGTACTGCAATACACCAAAAATCATTTACAGTATTTTAACATGGCTTCCTTCGCTCAACCCACCGAAATCTAATCCTGTCCTTTTCCACGCGGCCTAATTCAAACAAAGCAGACGAAAAATTTGAAAGTTGCTGTAGTATTTTTTATTTCATTTTTTAGGTTCACGCGTTCATGTTTCTCTAGCTGTTAACAGCACAAGGGCACCAGCAATCAATTTTCTCGAGTAGATGCAATGATCTAAAATTTGCCAGTGAACGACTTCAAGATGCGGTGAATCTAACTTAATATTCGGCACTGGCTAGAACTGGCGAATATTAATGATCTTCACTTTTTTATGATTAAAAAAAAACTCTACCGTGGTAAGAGCAACCACTGTTGAATAAATCTCAGTGAACAAGAATTTGCACGAATTTCTGGTGCTTTAAGAGTGCGACTGGGACGAGAAAAAAAAGAATCCACAGGTAACGCATTTTCGACACCAAGAATAAATCATGGTCCGTCAAAGATTGGCGAAAGCAAGCAAAAAAAATAATCACTGGAATTATTGAGTCACGGTGTCGTAAATAATGTCAACCGTATCGCCGAAAATCACGTTAGTCCGGCAAAATTCAACAATTACAAGGAGGCCCGCAAATAATTACAGTATTTAACCCATGTGACGGGGTCGTGCCCTTGCACTGCCAAAACGCTCAACAGAAACATACAGTACAGTACCACAATGACGGGTGCTGTGTATTTCCAGAAATTTCTCCCGAGCCCAACAAAACCCCCAGTGAAGAGCAGTTGAGAAGATCCCGCCTCAAATACAAGGATTACAAATCAATCGCTTCGTCGGAGCCGCGGAAATAACCAGAAAAGCCAGGTATAAAAGGAAGCAGAAAACAAGTAGATGATCCCTTGCAGCAGCAGCAGCAGTCCCGAGCACAACGGAGGGCTTCTCAACAAAAGGCGCCCCCAGAGGACACGCGATCACAAAAGCGAATTAGCGTCCGCAGAATCCCGGCAGGTGAACGCCGCCTGGCCACGTGGGTCCGTCGTAATGAATCCAGGTAGCCGGAAGCTCGTGCCGCGGGATTAATGAAGCTGCCAGATCCGTGTCACGGCCGGGAGGCAAAGGAAAAATGGTGGAAAACTAAAATACGAAAAGTTGAGTCGGAATCTCTTCACCTATGGGCCCATCCCGCAGCGCATTATCCGCTCCCGCGACCTGAGCCTTGTTTCCGCGGAAAATTCCGCTTTTTTCTACCCCCCCCCCTCTTCGTCAGTCCTTTATCCCTCGAAGCACGGGGTCAATCGTCAGCAAGCAACGTCAGCAGATGTGGGCATAACACCCTGCTCAGGTAATCCGTCGCCAAAGCTCAGAGGATTTACGTCCGCGAAGCAGCAGTTTTAGGGAATTCCAGTCAGCGCGCTGCTGCCTGACAATTCATCGATCTGCTTTCCCCCGAAACAATTCCCAGGGTTCTCATTAAGTCATTAGCGAACCGCATCCAGTAGCTAATTACGCCAGACCTCATTAAGAAGTTCACGAGATGCTACACTTTAAGCAAAACAATACGATAAACGGCGACCCGCACTCTCGGAATTGCGCTGATTAGTGCAAGCAAAAGCCTTTTCCAGTGCAATTTTTTTTTAAATTGACAAAAAAAGTGGTCATACATTCGCTACAAATTAATTTCAGTTCGCATGCATTACCATAAGGATGTCTTCATCTCGGTTAATACTGCGTTTGGATTTTCTGGTCGATTTCAGAACATGATACAGTTGAAGCTTGATAACTCGAACCTATCTAAATTAAATACCTCCCTATGCCGAATTTTGTTCCGATGTCACTCTCTGATTTCCCTTCGAAACAATGAAAACCTCGTAAACTCGAATTTTCTGGAGCGCCTTTGACTATTCTTTTATTGACACAGGAAAAAGAAAAGCAGTAAAAATTTATTTTGAAAGGATTTTTAAAGAAATTGAAGGACTATTTGGGCAAATGAACCCTTGCTTCATCCAAGTTCAGCATCCCGTCAACTCATTTAAACAGCAATTCAAGGCCCAGCATTTCATCAATTACAATTTATTGCAATTCTTTCGTTTCCCCAACAAAAAGGTTAGTTTCCCCAACTCGATTTTTCTGCTGGTCCCTCGAAGTTAAACTTGAAGAGGCTCGACGGCTCTGAGTTGCTGCACTCCAGAGGACATCCACTTCTGCTCGTCTTCGCCAACTGCTCCACAATTAAAGCGTCCATGTTTACATTATGTCCCGACTTCGCAATCCGATGGATGTTTCGAAGTCTAATAACGCAAGCGAAATCGGGCCTTGAAGCCGAGATGAATCACGGAAGCGTTCCCTCACAGTCCGCCGTCTTTAAAAAACGTTTTGATCCGCGTGCTTCGGGGTCGAAGATCGAGTGACTCGGGCGGAAGAGGAGCGGTGATCCGCTGGCGAGTGAGCGAACGCAGGAACCCCGGGTTTATTAGTGCTATGCTGACAAAGTAAGCCATATTTTACTGTTACGCAGGGACCTGGGGCCCATATGGCGAGCAGCAGAAAAGGTGTCATCTTACCCTGTTTTCTCGCCGCCGGTTTAAATCGCGTCGAGGGGAGAGCCACGGTGTCTCCGTGCGCCGCGGAATATCAATGCCAGCGACCGGATAGAAACCAGGGACGCCACTCTCGGCCAAATGTAAGCCCGAACACGACATGATTCTATTACACGAGCTCAATCGCATTAACTACCGACAGGAGGACACTGTGCAGGCTGCTGACTGACAATGAGAAGGACAAAAAAATCGACGACGCGTAATCCGCCGGTGACGACAGACCCGCGCCCCGTGAAACTGATCTCGCATCCTCACTCCCTCATTATCGCATTATACGGCCTCTTTCCTTCTTGACCCAACTGCCCTCGTGTCAAGTGATCCCCAAAGCCCTGTGGACACTTGGGAACCCTTATCCAATGAACGCGTCCGGACAGTAAATGTAAATCCTTATTCAACCTGACCCCCCTATTACAGTGCGGGAAACAAGTGCATACTTGACGAGAAATAAACGCGGAGGACTGGGAAAGTAAGCATTTTTATCAGACCAACTGCAGGACAAAAACCACGGTAATCTTGTTCCGTGGCTCCATTATCCGAGGGAAACTATCAGATGCCAACCTCGTTCATCAAAAAATAAAAAATGAATAACGGGAAATCGGGAAGATAAAGTGAAAAATTAAAAATATGATCAACAAGGCATCCGATTAACCGTGTCCGAAGTTCGATTCATCGAGAGGAAACAAAGCGACGTGTGTACCTCACATTTTTTTCCTGTCGCTACTTTATTTCCCGCTGATTGACTGCGTATCCAGTTCTACGTAATTCACGATGTATGGAAAATCGGCAATACATTTTACGTTAGGTCGATTTAATTTTTTAATCGGTTAAATACATCGTCCCCCATCGGAATACGGTCATTAGCCCGAAAGATTCCGCGTCCGTTTCCCGAGCATCAAGCTTGAATACTTGCGAAAGTTAATTTGAAAACATATGATGAGCACAAAAATATATATAAGAATTATTCTACGGCAGTCACTCATGCCCCGACGATAGATACGAGTCTACAATTCGGGTCGCCCGAATTTATTCAAAATGCTTGACTTCCCAGAAGGGATTTTTAGCACCATTAACAAAGGTTCCACTGCCTCCCATCACCACGTATCCCATCGTAGAGTCTTAGTCGATATTCGAACGTAATTCGAATCGATGCGCGAAACTCAAGGGTGAAAGTCATATTCCGCCTGATCTAGGCGTGACATCTCGACTGCGCACACGCAGCTTAGCCTCGCGGAAACGGATCCAAGACGGCCGACACGACCGTGATCCGAGAACTAATCGATTACGTCGTATATCCGTCAAACCGCGACGGGCAACCAGCAAGTCGAATAACAGCGTGGACCGGGACCCAATGCAACGCACCGCGAGCGAGATCAATTACAAGCGTGGCGGCGGGAATGCATCAAGCCCCTCTTTGAAGCAAGTGAATTATGGAGAACTGATATAACATGCAGCGACGTCGTCGAGGACGACGGGATGAAGGTTGCGGGGGAGTCCGGGATCTATTTTAGCAGGTTAACCGGGACAAGGGGGTTCGCACAAGTTCTTCGCAGGGGCTCCAACAAGTCGCTATGCTCTGAATAAAAGGTGATATTTTCCGTAAAAGCTGTACGCATAAATTCGTGTGTTTTTTTTCATGGAAAATACTCAGAATTGACCACAGAGGGGCATATCTGCCACAACACAGTCGTACCCCTCTATCACAGCCTGTTTCCTTCCTCCCGATCCTTTGAAAAACAGGAAAAATATTTTCATCATTACGCAGAATATAATGAATGCATGGTTTCCGCTGTTTATAATTACAGCACTTATCACAGATTTACAAAGAAGATTCAAGTCGGAAGTCTCCTCACGATCTCGGGAAAAATCTTCACGCATCAACCCCGAATTGTAAAACGTAAACATGGACTTCGTAAATCGAATTTGTGGTCTAACAAAGCACGGATAATGGAGTTTATCAGTTAGTCCCACAGTTGAGCTTCATTAAAAAAAATGTTTGTTGGATCCTTTTTTTTTTTTGATCCATTCGAATTGTGCGACGAGATATGAAAACAATATGCTTCTTCCAGTACTGTATATTTTCAAAGTACTACAATACTATGATCGTGAAATAATAGTATTCACAATGCCAGCAAATTTACTCGAATATAACACGCATCTGTTTTTTTCTGTTTTTTTTTCCCAGTGGATGTGAGAAGGCAATTCTATTAACGGAACTTCACAAAAATCAAAGGAGTCGGTAATTTGTTTTGTCATGCTCCAGCAACCAAGCAGATCTCCTCGCAGACCTTCAGCAAACATCAGGATTCTATCTCTGGTGCACTTGAACTATGAACTGCGGAACGAACTCGTTCAATTGAATTCAAAGCCTATTTCTTCTTCATGATATTATGTTGGTCAGAAGCAAGGATGTTATTCACTCACTAATCCAAG